TCTGGCATTTGAAAAGGGAGTTCTGCCATTTGAAAAGGGATTCTGGCATTTGAAAAGGGAGTTCTGCTATTTGAAAAGGGATTCTGGCATTTGAAAAGAGAGTTCCGCCATTTGAAAAGGGAGTTCTGCTATTTGAAAAGGGAGTTCTGCTATTTGAAAAGGGAGTACTGCCATTTGAAAAGGGATTCTGGCATTTGAAAAGGGAGTTCTGCTATTTAAAAAGGGATTCTGGCATTTGAAAAGGGAGTTCTGCCATTTGAAAAGAGATTCTGGCATTTGAAAAGGGAGTTCTGCCATTTGAAAAGAGAGTTCAGCCATTTTAGGCATTTTCAAAAACAGTAGTTCAACGTTCAAACATCAATAGCGCAGTCAATATTGCATGGAAATTCAACTTTAATATATGAAAATCAATTATCATTATTTCGTTGCGATAGCTTTTACGTTTTTTTTGGACACCCTGTAGTATTTTTTATTTTTTCATTTATAGGTAGCATCGTGTTCAGGCGATGGTGTTGTCCATTATAATGATGTCAACAGTCATTTATCTTACGGGACCAATCCTTTTCGTTGCCATACTGGAACGACATACGAGGTATTAAATCCTGGAGGTTCAGTAACGATCATCTCTTATTCATCCGGTGTTACTACAGGAGGAAACCTAAACTAAACTAACTTTATTTATACTGGATAGCTCGATCAGTGCTAAACTGTTCTTCCTAGAGGTGCAGTAAGGATCATCTCTTATTGATTCAGTGTTACTACAGGAGGAAACCCAAACTAAACTAACTTTATTTATACTGGATAGCTCCATCAGTTCTAAACTGTTCTCCCTAGAGGTCCAGTAAGGATCATCTTTTATTGATCCAGTGTTACTACAGGAGGAAACCTAAACTAAACTAACTTTATTTATACTGGATAGCTCTATCAGTTCTAAACTGTTCTTCCTAGAGGTCCAGTAAGGATCATCTCTTATTGATCCAGTGACATTACAGAAGGAAACCTAAACTAAACTAACTTTATTTATACTGGATAGCTCTATCAGTTCAAAACTGTTCTTCCTAGAGGTCCGGTAAGGATCATCTCTTATTGATCCAGTGTTACTACAGGAGGAAACCTAAACTAAACTAACTTTATTTATACTGGATAGCTCTATCAGTTCTAAACTGTTCTTCCTAGAGATCCAGTAAGGATAATCTTTTATTGGTCCAGTGTTTCTACAGGAAGAAACCTAAACTAACTTTATTTATACTGGATAGCTCTATCAGTTCTAAACTGTTCTTCCTAGAGGTCCAGTAAGGATCATCTTTTATTGATCCAGTGTTGCTACAGGAGGAAACCTAAACTAAACTAACTTTATTTCTACTGGATAGCTCTATCAGTTCTAAACTGTTCTTCCTAGAGGTCCAGTAAGGATCATCTCTTATTGATCCAGTGTTACTACAGGAGGAAACCTAAACTAAACTAACTTTATTTATACTGGATAGCTCTATCAGTTCTAAACTGTTCTTCCTAGAGGTCCAGTAAGGATCATCTCTTATTGATCCAGTGTTACTACAGGAGGAAACCTAAACTAAATTTATTTATACTGGATAGTTCTGTCAGTTCTAAGACTAGGAAATTAAATTGAAATGTTATTTTCAGGTGAACACAACCCCAGGGGATCCGCACACCTTCATGTCTTCTGGTGAAGATGGTACAATACGTTTGTTTGATGTACGAAGTAAGACAAAGTGTTTATGTGACGGTTGCAAAGAGGTACTGTATATCAATGTGTTTTTTTTAAAGATATACCAGATAGGGCTTTTGTTATCCGGCCCGATATGCCGGGTACTTAAAAAATATCCGGCCAGCTAGGCAGCTACCAGATTTACTGATCAACTCGAAAGTTTATGCTCCTTTGATCACTATGCACCCTTCACCTTATTAAATTAACTTGAAATTATTAATTCAAAGCATAATCATTTGTAAAGTTTTATATACATTTTCCTTGTTTTGTAAATAGTGCAGTTTCTGAATAAATCTTGAAATCTTGAAATCTAGATGATTTTGATATATGGTTTGGGTTTTTATTTACGGTAAAATAATGATTTTTTGGAGCACTTCTGTAAGAATTTCTCTGTTTCTTTAGGATGTACTGATAGACTGTCAGAAAGCAGTCACGTCGTTCAGTGTTAATCCAGTTCAACCTTATTACGTCGCCATTGGCTGTGAGAATAGTTTGTTACGAGTTTATGATCGACGATCACTGAGTACAGGCGAGCCAGGCAAGGAACATGACAAACAGCGTGGTCTATTGTATCAGTTCAAACCAAAAGCGTTAGAGAAACGGGATTGCAGAGTGACCTCGCTCAAATACAGGTATGTTGAAATAGGTTGGTGTTACTAAGTAAACACTATCGTGCAGCAGATAGTGGTCAACCTGCAGTTATCAGAGTGAGAAAATAATCTTAAATCTTGTATTTGGAGGAAAATAAATAGAATTGTTATTTAATTTGCTTCATCCTGTAGTAACACTAGATCAATAAGAGATGATCTTTACTGGACCTCTAGGAAGAACAGTTTAGAACTGATAGAGCTATCCAGTATAAATAAAATTAGTTTAGTTTAGGTTTCCTCCTGTAGTAACACTGAATCAATATGAGATGATCTTTACTTGACCTCTAGGAAGAACAGTTTAGAACTGATAGAGCTATGCAGTATAAATAAAGTTAGTTTAGTTTAAGTTTCCTCCTGTAGTAACACTGAATCAATAAGAGATGTCTTTACTGGACCTCTAGGAAGAACAGTTTAGAACTGATAGAGCTATGCAGTATAAATAAAGTTAGTTTAGTTTAGGTTTCCTCCTGTAGTAACACTGGATCAATAAGAGATGATCCTTACTGGACCTCTAGGAAGAACAGTTTAGAACTGATAGAGCTATCCAGTATAAATAAAGTTAGTTTAGTTTAGGTTTCCTCCTGTAGTAACACTGGATCAATAAGAGATGATCCTTACTGGACCTCTAGGAAGAACAGCTTAGAACTGATAGAGCTATCCAGTATAAATAAAGTTAGTTTAGTTTAGGTTTCCTCCTGTAGTAACACTGGGTCAATAAGAGATGATCCTTACTGGACCTCTAGGAAGAACAGTTTAGAACTGATAGAGCTATGCAGTATAAATAAAGTTAGTTTAGTTTAAGTTTCCTCCTGTAGTAACACTAGATCAATGAGAGATGATCCTTACTGGACCTCTAGGAAGAACAGTTTAGAACTGATAGAGCTATCCAGTATAAATAAAGTTAGTTTAGTTTAGGTTTCCTCCTGTAGTAACACTGCATCAATAAGAGATGATCCTTACTGTGGACCTTTAGAGAAAACAGTTTAAGTATATTAATAGAAGTTTAAGGTTTATAAAATTTAAAATAGTGGTTCTTGTTGCTTTTTTAGTTCAGATGGTGAGAATCTTCTTGCAAGTTATTGTTCGGACTATGTGTATCTCCTCGACTCTATCCCTAAGCAGGCGGATCAATTGCAGCGAGGCATGGAGGACGAGACAGATGGGCCATGCCCGAACACAGGCAACGATCCACCAATGAAACGACTGCGCTTGCGCGGGGACTGGTCGGACACGGGGCCGAATGCCCGGCCAGAGGGTGAAGAACCCGGTGCTAGTGAAGATAACTTCGTGCAACGCATGTCGGGATACTTCACAAGATGGATCGAGGAGTCGATACGGAATGCACGAAGACAACGGCGACGAAATCCGACTGGATCGCGAAGACGTCCCGAAGGTGATACGGAGGATCACGAAGACGATCCGGAGCAAAGCGATGATGGTGAGAACTCTGAAACGTTGGAGAGCGCATTACCTTTGACAGAGGAAAGTTGTGATGAGCAAAGGACTCAGACCGATTCAGATAGTGACGTCACTGAGACTAACGATGACGTCACTGGAAATAAAGATGGCGTCACTGAAACTAGCAATGACGGCACTGGAAATAAAGATGACGTCACTGAAAATATGGATGACGTCGCTGGTAATGACAGTGACGTCACTAATAGTCCCGTTGATGTCGCCAACCATCAGAATAACGTGACGCAAAAAGGAGAAAAAGTTCCTAATCGTTCTCATAATGTGAATGACGCATCAGAATGTAAGAAACCAAGAGACGTGAATTTTTCACGTGATTCTAGTTGCAGATCACGTGACGGTGGCGACGTCACCAATAGCAATTCTAATGATACGAGAACATATTATGAAAATCAGGCACGAAGCAAGAATCTTTATAGAAATCGACGTCGCAAACGAAATAATGCCTCCGACGCGATCAAGAGTGAGGACAACACAGTTCGAAATAGGAGCGAGAATACTGAGTCACGTGATCAGATGACGTCATGTGATGATGGTATCCATGACAACATGACATGTAACCATAGTAATGAGATGCGTGATGGTGAACTAGATAGGGATCCCTGTGGGGGAGCAAAACTACAATCTGATGCTTCAAGTATCCGGGAAACTAAACCCCCGGAGAATGAACCATCACCGGCGATAAGTTCAAGGGGATTGTCACCTACCCGGAATTTATGTTCTGAGACACAAAATGCAGAAGTTGGTATTCCAACATGTGATGATAACACTGGAATTTTCTCAACTGAAACTGTGGACTTGGAAACTGTAACCACGGGGTCTGACACAATGGATTCTAGTTGTTCATTGTTAGATTCCACTACCCAAGAGAGTCAGAATAGCAGTTATGAAAATTTGGAATCAGAAGCGCTAGGGTCAAATTGTGAGGGATTATCACCCGATGGGGATAATAATAATCTAGCTAATGAAAGGACACAAATTGGTACGAGGAGAAATGAACCCTCGGATATTGAAAGCTCAGAAAATAGTTCGGCACCGGGGATTAGTACTAGGGTAACAATCCCCTTTGGTACGAATACCCGGGGGTCTGAAACACCCACCATGGAAACTGGACCTGCAGAAACAGCTTCGGGAAATCACGAAGAAACCGTCGGCGAATCTTCGAGATCTGTCGGGGATGACTCGAGACGCGATGCCGCGGCTTCGACTATTCAGAATTTCTTCCGGTTTCGTGTGAAAAAAGATTTTCAGTCAATTCCATGTGATTTTCCCATTCACTCGAATGTGAAGCAAGTTTTCAAAGGACATAGAAACGCTCGTACAATGGTAAGTTTAATGAATAGGATGACGTTATTTCTGTGTTGGTGTAATGTACTCAGGTGAATAAGATGCTTGTGATGTTACTCTGAGTGTATATCCACACCGGGCAAGCTTGAAAAATATGCCTGGCCACGGTGGGAATCGAACCTACGACCTTTGGAACACTAGCCCAATACTCTGTCAACTGAGCTACGCGGAACCGACCTGACCTGATCTTAAATGAATAATATATTATGTAGATGTCTTCTTACGATTTTATTGTATGTATATGTATAGAAATTTATAAATTATTATAGTAGTTTATAAATTTTAAATTTTTGTATAAAGCTTCATGCAATTCAGCCGAAAGGCTGCCATATGATTCTAATAAACGGTCTATCTATCTTGATATACTACTTGATGTTTTTATTAGATCAAGGAAGCGAACTTCTGGGGAGATGACTACGTTCTCAGTGGTAGCGACTGTGGTCGTATTTTTATCTGGTCAAGAAAGACGGCTGAAGTGGTCATGCTGCTCGAAGGCGATCAACATGTTGTCAACTGTGTTCAACCTCATCCGTGTGCACCGAGTGAGTATTAGTTTTGAAAAGGTGTTCATTTTAATCTACTCCACTCAGCGATGCCACTTAAAGGGCATATGACTCGAAAATTGACGTTGTTATTTTTTTACTCTTTTTTTCAGATAGGTCATTGAAAACTGTAGAGTAACTTCTTTGATTGATTTTTGTTTTCTTGCTTCGTTTTGGAGATATTTCATTTTGTATGATACACAAAGGACCAACTTCTGAAAAGCGCACTAAAAGCTGTATATCTTTAAAATACTACTAAACACAATCAGTAGAAAACCTACATGGGTGTTGTTGTGGACAAATCTCGTGCTCATCATTCATTTTGAGCGAATTTATTTGATTGTGACAAAATTATATAACATTTTAAAGTAAATCATTATGCATATGTGACGTAGAAAGTTGATCCTTTGCATATCATACAAAATGAAATATCTCCAAAACGAAGCAAGAAAACAAAAATCTGTCAAAGAAGCTACTTTATAGTTTTCAATAATCTTTCAAATTAGACTAAAAAATAACACCGTCAATTTTCGAGTCATATCCCCTTCAACCTATTTGTACCACTTGCGATTGGGCCAACTTGGACACAAAAGTTGGTTGCCCGGAATAAAATTCACTTGGCATCAGGTCTAGTTTTGCTCTCGTATTAGCAAAATTTGATGAATTAAGAGGCAATTTTGTTCTTCTCAAAATTACTTTGTTTTAGCTTTATTTTGTAGTTTACACAGCTCTGGCGGTTGAGAAACAGAAAATAATAGTTAAATATTGTCAATTTAAATACAATTATCATTGATGCTGTAACATTGACGCCATATTTATACAGCAATATAAGCAAAACTTAACTGAACTTCAGACATCATTTTCTCTTTGGCGTACCATCTAAAATCTCTTCATTTTAGCATTATTTTACAGATAAAGCAATAAACATATTTTAAAGTTTGTTTTCCGCTTGAGAAACGTATTAAAAACTGTTTCGAGAAACATGTTGTTACATGTCAACCATATTTGTTTCGTGGTACTGGAGGAGGAAGATTATTGAAATTATTTTTCATTTTCTTGTTAGTGCTAGCTACGAGTGGCATCGACTACGATATCAAACTATGGACTCCAACATCTTCGAATGTTTGCCCTCTCGAAAATGCACATGAGGTACGACAAAACTAATTAATGAGCCATTTATATTACACATGGTATAACAACAGTGTAATCCAGTCACCAATATCTGATCAGAATGTTCCATTGTTTTGAAAATCCTACTGTTTTCCATGCCATCCAGTCGTAATCCAGTGATCGGAATGTCGCATTGTCTTTTCATTGTTTTGAAAATCTCACTGTTCTCCATGCCATCCAGTCATGATCCAGTGATCAGATTGTTCCATTGTCTTTTCATTGTTTTGAAAATCTCACTGTTCTCCATGCCATCCAGTCATGATCCAGTGATCAGAATGTTCCGTTGTCTTTTCATTATTTTGAAAATCTCACTGTTCTCCATGCCATCTAGTTTTGATCCAGTGACCAGAATGTTCCATTGTCTTTTCATAATTTTGACTAATATTAAACACTTTTCCTAATTTAACTTTGTATAAATATTTTCAGGTAATTGCACGAAATGAGAGAATGTTGCGAGAAAGTCGTGATACCCTGACTGTCCCTGCTTCGTTTATGATCAGAGTATTGTCATCACTTCATAGAGTTCGCTTTAATGGTAAGCTGCTTTTGGCGGTGGATCTTGTCCGATTAGCTACTTAACTGTCGAAAACTTGTGTACGAACTTAACTATGGTCTGAAAATCAAGCACACAACTAACCTACGACAACATACTTTACAGATTGAATTTTACGGCACACCTTCAAATCATATTTGAAGGTGTGCCGTAAAATTCAATCTGTAAAGTATGTTGTCGTAGGTTAGTTGTGTGCTTGATTTACACAGTACAACTCAAGTTGTAAGCAGGTTGCACGCGAGTCTCAATCGATCTTAAGATTCTTTATTGCTTCTAGGAAATTTCTTAGTATAACAAGAAAACCCAGCCACAATCGTGTACACAACTTGTTCATAAAATTTTAATTTGCCTCTGTGAGAATATAAATTCTAGTTGGGTTTCTGTACCTTGCCTAAAATATCCACCCCCCTTTCCCCAAGACAATGTTGCTGAATTACGTTTGAAGTGCGGGGCAAATAATGGCAACATTGGGTGGGGGAGGGGGGGGGCAAAATCCTACATCAAGTTAGTTAAATTTGTTTTCCTAAAATTTCGATCTATTTTGTTAACAGTTTTGTTCTAAAACAGACATACTTCTCTTCAACAAGAATCACTCGTTTAATTGCTTATATGCAACGAAATTTCAAACTATGGTTTTTTGTTATGATTGGTTTTTAAAGAACAATTATTTAAAATGGCTCATATAGAATACTTTGCCAAATTCTCTTATAATTAAATATTGTCAATTTACACTTAACAAATATAAAACATTTTCCGTGTTGATATACAGTTATATCAACACGAGTGGAAATTGGGAAAGCGAGAAATTGTATGGAAACGCAACGCCCGAAGGGCGGAGTATTTTCATACAATTTCGAGTTTTCCCAACTTCCACGAGTGTTGATATAACTATATATCAATACGGAAAAAATGTTTTATATTTTTTTTATAATATAGCAATGTCAAAAGCTCGAAGGATAAGAAAAATTTCCGTGTTTACAAGCCGCGGAAAATTTTCTGTGTTGACATTGAGGTGTATCAACACGGCTCTTAGCCAATCAGCGTTCAGAACTTACAAATGCTATATTATAAATACAATTATCATTCATGCTGTAAAATTGACACCATATTTATACAGCAATACAAGCAAAATTAACTGGCAAAGCATCTATTTAGTCATTCTTTTTTTTTTACAATGCGATCATAAAAAAAAACGTTGTGAAATTTCGTTGTATATAAGTAAAGTGCTTCAAAATTTCTAAATATATTTTCCAGGGGGAGTCAGCGAGCAGTCATCAGCAGATTCAGACAGTGATTTGGACGAGGATTAATAGAGCTCATTTGGTAACCGCCAGAAAGCATTGTACAAGGTATTGATTGGGCAACTACATGCAAACGTGTTGATATATCGGCTGAAAAGCGATAAGCCATACGGTGGCAAATAATCAGTCAATGACTCCGATAATATCATATCCATTGGTATTGATACAGACCATTTGTCCGGACCTTTTTTGATACCCTAAAACTTACCCCGATGAACTCACTATATATCCCAATATACCCCTTGTGTACACCATCTATACCCCTGTACACACATATGTATATATATACCCCTGTATACACATATGTACCCCTGTATACACTTATGTACCCTGTTGATACATCCCAATATACCCCGTATTATAAACTATCGTCATCAGCAGGCGAGTCTGATGAACCGGTGCCATGAAATGTTAATTTCCATTGGAGTAATATACCCGCGGTTACATGTCCCGACTCGGAATTGAACCCCGGAACAAAGTCCTCTTGAAATCCATTATTCACCTGAACTCTCTGGGACCCAGTCTCTTCGAGCGACTCTTGTGGGTGCGCGTCGATGTACATCTGTTCGCGTTTGATCTGCGAACCTGTTACGAAGTCGTTCCGATCGTCTTCGGGATATAGCGAATCGTAAACATCGCGTTTCACATAATTTCGCCTCGTCGGGTCTTCGTCGTAGCGATACTCGGAGATGTACGGTGGGTTTTCGTAGCCGTACGATATCGGCTGGCCATAGTTGTAGTTATTATAGTAAGCTGAAGTGGATTGGTTCCACAGTGGTCGCTCAGTTGCTGAAAAAACAAGATATCATGTTCGGGATGAATAAAGCATGCAATTTCTGTCGCGATAAATTGTAAACTACAGGGGCCGGTTGTATAAAACTCTTAATCACTTTTTTAATCACTATTTTGTAGTTAAATAGTGATTAACTCTCAAATACGTGCTTCTTATTGGATGACGTTTCCACTTAATTATAGTTAACTTTAATCACTTTTTTATACAACCGGCCCCAGGATGTCCCAAAAAAAAACCTATTGAAATAACGTATTGTTAGAATTTGAATGCCTCAGCTCTCTCATGCTGAACTCACAAGTGCATAAAAGCTTGACATAAGTAAATTTTATGCATAAAGAAACTATTTAAGAAGCTGCTTTAAATTCCTAACAGCAGAAAATCGTGCGCTTTACAAAGATTTCAAAGAAGACTTTGAATTTCTTAATAAGTCAATATTTAATACATGCACCCTGTCAATATTTTACGCATCTTTGCGTTCAGCTTAGTGCCAGGGCATTCAAATTCTAACAATACGTTATTTCAATAGTTTTGGGGTTTTTGGGACACCCTGTATAGTAGAACTGTCATTAAATATTTTTTGCATTAGCTTATTTTGTCTTCTGTGTAAAGCAGAATAAAAAAGCTACATTTAAGGAAACATATTTTCTAATTTAAAGCGAGTCAGTCGTGTGGAAACCGATTGTTCTTTGAACAACTTTGTGCATATTCAAATGATGTAAATATATATATGAATATAAAATATTCAGAAAGTTCAAAATATTGAGTTAGGACAAGTGTTAAAATATGTTATATTAATATTGAAATTTTACTTCACGAGAGAAAGACGCAATACTCGTGAAAATTATCTAACACATATGGCACTTAAATGGTTAACAAAAGGGAAGTGGCAATATATTTTTTATTTTCTCATTTGAAAGAACTTTTAAGGTACTAGATAAAACATGAGCAGCCGATCTGTATCTGATATACAAACTCTAGCCGAAGGCGAGAGTTTGTATATCAGATACAGATCGGATGCGAATGTTTAAACATTCATTCCTTTTGTATTTTCCTCGTGAATTATTAATGAATTTTTTAAGATTATATATAATCCTCTTTTACCGTTTTTTCATATCTCGCTTACTTCTAGAAATATTTTGATCGAAAGAAATGAAATGTCGGCCATCTTGGATTTTTGTAGATATGCATGTTACGTCACAACAGGGGTCACGCAATATTTTTATCTAGACAACTACTAATCATTTTGCCCTCAAAACTATACTCTGTCTGCCCTTCGAAATATCAAGATCACTCAGAACCTTTAAAACATCTACCAAACAATATTTGGTGAGCAACAAATACTGTTATATGGTTAATCCCTGTTGTGACATCACCAAAACTACCGTTAATGAGATAAAAAAATTATCCAAGATGGCAAATATCTCATTACTTCAAGTGAAAATATTTCAACAACTAAGCAAGATAGGAAAAATCGGTTAAAGAAGTTAATATATAGTTTCAAAAGTTCTTCAAATGAGAAAATTTATATTGCCATTTCTCTTTAAGATTATAATGGTATATTGTAGTTTTTATCCAGGGCCGTAGCAACCGGGGGGGCTGCAGCCCCCCCCCCCCCAATAATTTGCTAATAATCATTCTTTTTTCAAAATCATGCAAACTTTATCATTTAATCTGTGATAAACTGCAAAGAATGAAGATATTACTCATACTCCAGATCGTTCCTCGCGTAGAAATTTTAGCTGAATTTCTGTCGCGCATTTTCAAGAAAATCCCACAAAATCTGCACATTTTTGATGAACTAATGATTTATTTTGTCTTTTGCGTGTTGGGTCTTGCGGAAGAAAACTCTGAAAATGCCATTTCAGACCATCTAGAGACTCCAGATTTTCGAAATTTTCTCAAATGTTCTGCCTTCATTTCCGCGCAACTGCCATTTACGACGAAAATTCCTGCCGCGCATTTATAATACTACAGTCTGGCCCATACTTTCCTGTAAATTTCGACATACTAAAACGCTGTTTTCTGACTATCAGAATTCTGTTAAATCTTCCCCCAAAGTCCAGGAAATGGCATTTTAGAGACTCTAAATTTAAAAATTTCCTCGGGCCTTCGGCCCTCGCTTTCAGCCCCCCCAATCGAAAAGAGCTTCCTACGGCCCTGTTATCCAAATTCAGCCAAACTTTAATGAATTTGTCCTCGGCTAATAATCATTAGCCATACGAATTTTCGCATCAGTACGTTTGGTATTGATTTATCGTTGAAAAACTGAAAACTCCCTAATAAACAGAAGGCAAAGTATTTTATTTAAACACAAAAACAACTCACCATAACCACCAGTAAAATACTTTCTATCTTCTGTTCTCGGCCCTTTTCGGTATATTGTGAACTTCTTCACCCCCTCCGGATAACGGGAGTTTTCTTGCGCTGGACGGGGGGAGCCTTTACCCGTCTTCCGACGTTCCAACTCTTCTGTTTTCTTTTGATCGTCTATAACCTACAGTAAACAAATGTCCTTAGGATATATAGTCCAGGTTTTATTATCGAGATCTGTAATCATACAGAGTAAGTAACGCCTGTCCTATATCTAGTCCAGCTGTATTCTTGAGATAAGTAACCTCCGTTAATCGTATATTTCTCTGTCAAGTAGTTCAGTCGTATTCTTGAGATCAGTAACCTCCCATAATTTTCTTAATCCAGTAATATTCTTGAGATCAGTAAATTTTCAATTCGCATATTCCCTACGTCTTAGTAGTCCAATAATATTCTTGAGGTCAGTAAATTCTTAGTAAGTTCATAGTCCAGTAATATTCTTGAGATCAGTAAATTCTTAGTAAGTTCATAGTCCAGTAATATTCTTGAGATCAGTAAATTCTTAGTAAGTTGGTAGTCCAATTATATTCTTCAGATCAGTGACCTCCGTAAAATAGTCCAGTAGTTGTGCTTAGAGATCAGTTACCTATTCTGTCTTCCTAAGTCTAGTAGTCCAGTCGTATTCAGCAGATCAGTTTACTCTTTGTAAATAATATACTTTCTTAGTGGTCCAGTTATTTTTATAAGATCAGTGACTCGTTACCAACCTCCTGTTCAAGGTCCTCGACATCGGCCGCCTGTTTACTGGTGTCATGCTGGACAAACGTGCCTGCGTTCAGGTGTTTCCCCATTACATTTATATTATCTGTGACATTCATAATCCACACGCCTTTCGGGTTTTCGCCCCAATTATGAACAGTCATGAATGTCCAATCATGAAGCCCGTTTCTCGAGTCGTCATAGCGACGCGTCGACAGCATTTCGTTCCTAGTCCCGCTCGGCGAGAAGAGGTCGATGCTGACCTGTCCGCGCCTGCGATGTTGGAAGCTCATGGTCAGCGTTACATGCTCCAGTTTCTCTATATCGTCTTTCGTGTTTGCACACGCGATGGTGTCTATGGTAACCGATAGTGTTCCCCCGGCTGGGATCTCCCTAAAACAGATAAAATATGGAATATTGATTTTCTTGTAGATTTTCTCCTATAATATCCCTATATATTGTATCCCATTTTTTGTATCCCAACATCTTATATCCCTACTTACTGTTGCGTGTCACTTGATGGTCCCTTACACAGCTTCTGCGGGGCGACATTTTTCCAAGTCTTCGCCTTCTTTACCATTTGATAAGCGTCCAATCTTCCGAATCCAAATTTATGATTGAAATGATATCCTGCGCCATTGCTCACCCATCCCTCGTCCACTGGACTCGTCACTTGAGCGCTTTCGACTATCACGTGTTGCACATCTCGCCACGTTAGATTCGGGCTAGCGAGAGAAATAGAATAGGATTTCGCCCATTGATCTGAAAACTATAGGCCCATTTCAACTCAACAAACCTCTGATATCTTGTATCAAATCTGCCAACAAATCGTCAACTTGTCCCAAGTTGTCACCAAGTTTGGAACAAGCTGTTAACAACTTGTAACAACCTTGTTGATATTATTATCAGACTTGTTGCAAGGTTGTTCCAACAAGTCCGATACAGTCACGATATAACAATGTTGTTACAACCTCGTGTCGTCAACCTTGACTTACTTTGCTTCTAAAGCCAGCGCAATCATCCCAGCGGCCAACGGCGCCGCAGAAGACGTTCCCTTAAACTCTTCGGTACATTTGTGATGCAAATCTGTTGTAACCTGGAATTGAATTTACATTTAAAACATCCTGGCAAAATTTAGGTGGGGCATGTCAACAGGAAAAAATCTGAAATTTGGACTTTGAAAATGGATGGTATTCTGAAGGACACAATAATAATAATAATATAATAATAATATATAAAGATTTATACAGCGCTTAAATTATATAAAATATTCCAAAGCGCTTTACAACAATGAGGTTATACTATATACAAGTAGCTAAAATATTAAGAATTAAGGTATAGGTGTCTATAAATCTAAAAGTTAGAATCGAAAGCTTTCTTAAAAAGGAAAGTCTTTAATTGAGATTTAAAACAGTCAATTGTTTTACTATTTCTAATACCAGAAGGTATCATGTTCCAAATTGACGGAGCTGCATGCACAAATGCTCGATCACCAAGAGTCTTGGCTCTAGTTTT